GCGCTCACCGTGTTTTGACCTGCCCTATACTGATGTCGGGAGGGTTGCTCGGCCACAGGGGTATCTCTAATCGTTGATAACTAAAAAATAAAGCTTCAAACGCAATTTTTTTATTATTGATTTTCGTCTTATTCCGGCTTGCAGAAACAGCCCTTAAATTTATTACCAACTGTTGCCGAACACCTTGTATAATCAACTATTGCAAATTAAGGGTGAAAAACTACGTCATCAATTGAAGACTCATTCTTCTTTGAGAATTTACCAAGTATCAGGATAAAGCTACCTTAAATTTCAGATGAGACCAGTTATAGGTTACAATATAAATATATTAAACCTTCGTGTGGTTAATCATTATTACAAGTCATTAGCCTAAGTTCCATCAATGTTTTTACGAAGAGGAATGTAATAACTTTCGTAATGTTTAAATGTGAGTTAATTGCATAAAATGTGATACAAGCTATCTTAAAAATATTGCCAATGTCAGTGGAATAAATAAATTCAGTATTTAAGAAAATGAAATATTTATATGTAAAGTGTATAGAGTGAAATCTCCTAAGAAAAGGAATTAAATAGTAACAAAAATTTAACATAAAAATGATTTGTGAAAAAAACATTTCAAAAAGAGATATTGGAACAATGAACTTTTATTAATTTACTATGTACTTTTATTGTCTACACATCTTTGCAGATTGTTATGTAATTGTTAAATTGTACTTTTCTTTATTCACACTTTACTATAATGACTTCCAATAATAACAATTACATTAAAATTATCCTTTATGATGGTCAACAAATATTAATCGTTTTATTCAATTCGCACTGTTTACGTTAGATTTATCGTAATAATCTACATAATCTTTGGAAAGATTTTGAATTTCTTGTTTCTTTAACAAAAGTATTTTGTTATTGTATATAAAAACCAATAGTAGTATAACGCGTGTAATCCTTGTTTTCACCTGCAAAATTATAATTACAACATATATATATATATATATTGTTGTACGCAACTTACGAGATTCTTATTTTCTTCTCGACCTTTACGTAAAGATCATCGACGACCTTAATAAATCGTCCTCAATACCATTCGTAACATGTAATTAAGCGAGCAGTAAATATTACCATATGGCATTAAAACTTGCAGCAACGTTATCTTTAAACCATTTATTCGCCACTCATACACTATGCTTTATGGCGTTTCGATAAATTTATGTAACTTTAAATGTTTCACTGATGTAATTACAAACAGATAGAGATAATGGAAATAACCATAACGCCATTTCGCCGTTATTAATACTATCATCGATTAACCTTTATGAAATTCGCATTTGCTTCAAAATCATTCTATATTACATTACGGTTTCTTTAAACAGTACGAAAGATAATATTTTTAATCAATATTTCTAAGTACATTACAAGCCTACTGCACAATGACGTACGTTTGTAACTTCTTTGAATATTCAAGTTCCCTTTCTTTAAGTAATCACGTATGAGTAAACGTAACAAGAGGAAGACCTTAGAAGTTTCTATGAAACCATTAAAAGTAAACATTATCCACACGCATTCTTCATACAGCATACATAACCTCTATTTACGCGAGTATTTTACATATTGAAAATAAAAACTACGGTACATGATAAATTTTAACACTGTTCCCATAAAATATAAAAATTAATGATAAAAGTTATATAAGAATGAATAGGTTAACATATCTTTATTTAATACGTAACAACGATATAACAAAAATTTTATTAATAAGTGAATTAAACAAAATATAAATCTATACAGAAAATTTAGGTATCAGTAAAAATCGTACAAAGAAGATGAAATATATTTTTTACAATAAAAAATAACACACAGATCGTGCTTATTAGCATTTTCTTGGTAAGTCACGATTAGTTTGAAATTCAAACTTTGAATACATTGCAGTCGCCAAGGAAATGATTTCATTATGTAAAAAATTTCTGCGATATTTTTGTTACATATTAAATAAAGGTATGTTAAACTATACGTTCTTGTATAATATTTATTCCTGACTTTTACATGACTTTTTACTTGACGTTTACATTTTATGGAAAAAAATTGTTTAAACTGTACTTTGTAAAATTTTACGTGACAGTTACTGTATGTATATCTGAAAAGATATGTATAACTCCGTGCGAAACATGTTACAACGGGTACATATCAAAGCAACATGATTTCGTAGCTGAAAGCTTCCAAGATATTTATATCTTCAAATTTATTATTCAAACTTGCATTTGATAATGCAATATTTCAAAACCTTTCGATTTTAGGTATTAGTTCATCACCAGTTGCAAAAATACTTCCTTACAATTAAACGCTTATATGTATCCTTCTTTTTATTAGCGCTGTTTTCTTTTTTCCCAGTCTCATATAACAAAGTGGCTAAAATGTCAAAGGATTATTTTTTAACGGTGCAAAGGGGAAACAAATCTTACAAATACTTGTTTACATCGGCACCCGTGCCAACCCTATGACTACGAATACACTAACTTTCCCTATAACCACAACTATCACGGACTCATGAATTCATTTTCTTGACTGCTAACAGCGCTTATTTGTTAGCAATTGTAAATGGCACGACTGTATCATTAGCCGCGCGACGCAAAAACACTTCTATTCACCACTTCGTTCATTTGAAGGAATCTCTTTTCTGAAGAAAACCATTCATTTATCATTTGCAACTTGACAACGTCCAACGCTTATTTATTATCCACACAAATTTATAACATTTCAAATAAGCGAAGTTACTTATTCGATAAAAGCGAATCAAGGAAACGGTAAAATGTGACACGTTATTTTTCAAAAAATAACTAATTTCGTGTGTATATTATATGCGCAATATTATATTTGTTGTATAAATTATGTTTCTCATTAATATTACTCAAAGGTGAGATAACGTATTTCTAAACTATTAGTAGAAACTTAACAGGTTAATAAATCTGGGTAAAAGAAACAAAAAGGTTCTAATAAACGTAAGTCTTATAAATGCTTATAAAAGATGTTGAAATTGTCAGCTATTCATTTGAATGTAAGCATCAGTACTTTTTTTCAAAAATAGGCGTATACATTTAAAAATTCGTGGAATCTCGTTTACAGTTTTCAAGTTCTAAGTTCTATTCGTCTGTTAAGGTTCTATCAATAGTTGAAAGACACGCTGTATTTTCAGTTCGTCAAGGAAATAATATTAAAAGACAGGCACCAATGAAATTCACTTTCAGCCTTCTATACGCTTCACCCGGCGAATGCCGGCTCACTTTGACTCGCTTGTTGCAACTGTCGAGAAATCGGATCTTATCACAGTTATATAAACAATGACGCGTCTACTTTGTCGCAGGAAGGATAACTTTAAACGATGCACTGTATAGGCAGTATTCAGTGTAACCTCGAAAAAGTCAGACGTATTCATATTTCTATAGACTACAAAAAAATTAATAAAAAGTTACATTATTTTCGTAGAAAATTTTGTAACCAGGATGTCTGATTTCAACGAAAGTTCTGTTTTTCATAAGCTGCCGCAGTCTACCAGGCGTTGCAAACCGTCACAATAATGAAGTATTGTCAGATAGAGGAACAAGTAGTTTAATGAGCGATAATGTGCCAAAGTTGCAAGGATGTGAGGAAGATATATTTTCTGCAATAAATTCTAACGAAAACAAAACGGATAACAAGAACAATACTGTTTCTGTCCACATATGGCGATATATTGCACCGAAATCTACCAGAGTCGCACAAAGCATTCCACGTAAGAACGCGTTGATAGAAAAAAAGTAACAAAATTGAAATCATTCGAACTATACATGCCTAACAAACCCGGCAAGTATAATATAAAGGTATAGGCCCTTTGTGATTGATAAACATTTTACTGTTATAATATTGACATTTATTTGGGCAAAACGGCAATACTGTGGGAAAAGAAAAAAGTCAACATGTTGTCGAGCAGCTCAGTCATTTTTTAAAAAACTCCGGTCGTAAATAATAACAACGAATAATTTCTAGCGGAAGATTATTGTCTTACTGTTCTCAACCATACTCCATGAGCACATCATATTAAAGCTAGAAAATGATTATAAACCAGAAATAATTACATATTACAGTTCCACAAAAAATGATGTTGGCACACTTGATAAATAACTGAAAGGGTCCACTCATGCCATAGATATACCAGGCGCTGGCCTTTATCCTTATTTATGAAATAGATTAATATTGCCGTTTATAACACCATGGTCATATGGCTCGTAAAATATTCGGAATGAAAAACAGTATTTGTAGACCAACTAATATTAGACAACATAAGTATATGTGTAATTGAAATAGAAAGCACGAATAAAGTGCTTCGTGGTCACGTTCAAAAGGTAATTCAAAGTACTGGAAGACAAATATGAAGGAACGGAGAAACGATTTCAAATCAACCCCAAAAATCAAGGTCAAGATGTTACATATGTATTGGTAATGATACAAAATATAGTGTAAAATACCAAAATTGTTACAAACACGTTTGTAAATCTTACACAGCCAATACCAACATTCAATGTATATATTATAAAAAAAAGCATAATACGTATTAATGTTATTATTTTAAAAAAGCATTTTGAAGAAATAATACATTCAAAATTGAATATAAAATCTTATCCTACAGCATATACATATGTATATCGGAATTTTTATTATGGGTCAAAATGACCCGGCATTCACAGGCCGCCACCTTTTTTCATTTGAAACATTGAAAGTTGTTTAATGGGAGAATTAAAAAATTTGTATCAAAAGTTAAAAGAAAGTCGTTGGTCAAAGAACTTGAATAATGACAATTACAATAATAATGAATACACAAAAAACGATCGTATTCGAGAATGACATAACTTATGAAACAAGCTAATAATTATATTGCACAATAAACATGATTCTCTTCGTCAAATCCTTGTCAACTGTTTTCATGACAGCGAAAATAAAACCTGTTAATTAGAGGTGAAAACAACGAGGAGTCAGAGATGCGCGAGTACTTCAACGGCGGTGACCGGAGGCGTTTGATCACCGCTCAAAATCACGGGTTCCGATTCAGTTTGGACGATCCTGACCAGATTCGCGTCCTTCTTCGATGGTGCGACATTCGTGTTCGCTGCAACGTTCGATCTGGCGCAATAACTCGGCGGCCTGCTTTCTCTAGTCGTGCCGGGAGTTACAATGCTTCCAGCATTCGATCTGTAGGTCGGCGGAGGCGAGGACGTTGGTTGCAGTCGATCCAGAAGCAGCAATCGAAGCCTGTATTCCTGCATGCTCGCCTGAAATTAGATCAATCGTGTTGAAACTCAATTTTATTTCACGAATTATAGTATATACCGTGATGTCTAAAAACAGGTACAAAAAATATACCGGTAATACTTGTAGAAAATTAAACTGATAAGTTACGTAGTGACATCTAACTTTTACATTGAGAAATATGAATGTGGATGAGCTTATGAAATAATGAACATAATTTCGATGAAGCAACGACCTGAAATGCATTGTCTTTGGATTACCAAACATTCCGTATTGTTTCAGATCTCAGACGTCAATCATTAATAATTTACAAACAACCTTTTTGTACTGTTTCAATGCATGCAATTAATCCAAAATATACATTCTTCACTATTATGTGTTAACATTTCCAAAATTGGTATTCAGATACTTTAATTATTCTACGAACTTAAAAATTCTTGATATCCGTGCACGAAATATTAAAAAAAAGAATTGTGTGAAACTTTTCGAAACACCTTTCGATCGGAAAAAAGAAGATTAGAAATGAAAAGGATAAAAAACAGAAGGAGAATCGAGAATATACCCGTCAAAAGAGTTTTACAAGTGCGCGCAATAAATCTAATTTGAAAACAGGATAGAGAACAGCTGTCTGAAATCTTTCAAACTCGCAAGGGGTGAAAGATATTCTTAGAATGTCACCTGATAACTGGGAGGTGGCGTTCTAAACTGGAATTCCGGATAAATCATGGCAGCGTACGGATGAATCGGCCTCGCCGGCGGGATTCTGCTCGAGATCCCCGTGAAACCAAAGAAACTGCCGCAATTTTCTCGACTGGTCACTCGCCACGCTACAGCGCTCACGGTTACCAGAACCACTCCTATACCTGTAACATAACACGTCTTGTTATAGCGTACGCTGGTTTCCCTCGAAAATCAAAATATTCGATGAAGCATTTTACGAGAATATAGTAACAATATTGACACCAGTTATTCCTTAAATATAATCATGTAAAATTTAGCCAGCTAACAGTTTAATTAAAAACACAAACAAAATAGACGTATTTATTCGTTTATATTCGTTGCTAGAATTTATAGTATCTATACGTAGCTTTACAAATCACTGAACACTTACTAGTTTCTAACAAAATATCTATTGAGGTTAGTTTTTATGAAGATCTTAAGAAAAAATATAATTTACAATTATTCTACAAGACAGACAGAGCTAGTTTTATTTTATAACTTGGATCACTTTATTGTCTCTTCTGGAATTACTACGAAGGCCGGTAGATGACGAAGAGGAATTTACATACAGGGTGATTTTCTCGTTAGTTAAGCTAAAAGCAGTGCCGCCGATCACATCGCGACGATAACGCCGCGTCGGTATGTGTGACCGGTCTTCACCCTACAGAGGCCAGTCGACAGATCGCACATACCGACAGGGCGTTGTCGTCGCGATGTGATTGGTGGCACTGCTTTTACGTTAACTAGCGAGAGAATTACCCTGTACATCCTAACGATTATACAGAGTAGGTACGTAAGGCTAACAATAAGCAGTCAAGCGAATTGAAACCGGGCGACTGAACGAAGAGGCTAACTGGGTGACTCGGAAGTTGTCAGTATCGCAGAAACCGTCCAGGAGCAGAATGAATGTCCAGGAGATAGTTATTAACTGGTGTAAAACAAATAAGACGAAGAAAAAGCAATCTTGAGTGCACCGTTTAATGCAACAATGCCACAATAAAGGCATGTTCGCTGCATTTTTCAAAGATACAAGAAAATATGAAACCAAGTTTTACAATTTTATAAGAATGTCAATAAAATCATTTGACGATTTGTTAAATATATCAAGATCATCAATAACATTTGGGAACTGTGTCTGCATTGCTTCTATCATTTCGGTTGATTCACATTTGTTTCTGTGAGTCGCTCAGAAAATTGCTCGTCGTGCGAAAGCATGCATCTGAATCGATGCACCTCATTAGCCGAGTGGCTGATAGCCCACGTGTTGCTCTTGTAGTCACCGGCTACTTGCTATACAGGCCGATGCAAAAACATTATCCCCCTGCAATATTTCCGTTATTTGTAATAATATGGAAAAGTGTTATATACGAAAGTTGCATGATATAGAAAGGGACATAATGTAATGTAAATACTTTTTACGTGCGATAAAAAGAATATAGCATTTCACCTAAAACGTAGAGATAACCTTAAAATCTTCTTTATACTTCTACCCACGTAAAAAGTATTTTACATTAAATTATATCCCCTTTCATATAATGCAAGCTTTGCATATGATACTTTTTCATATTACTACAAATAACGGAAATATTCCAGGTGTACAAAGTTTTTGCATCACCCTGTATAGTTGCGGCGTTTCCGTGCGTAAGCTCTAATGTATTCTCACGCACCTAGTAGTGACCAGTGTACATAAATACATGAAAAAAGTGTTTACGGTTCAACTGTTCGAAGATGTGAAGAAAATGATAAGAAACGTCGCTGCAAGGTCTTTTTTCCAGGTTTCAAGGCCACCGGTGTTTTTTTTAAATATTATAGTACTTTTTTTAATTATCTTAAACAGTCCTTGAAGTAAAAGTTACCACTAGAAACGAACATCTTATGTTTAATATTTGTATATGCTTATCATTTTAATAGGTGAATATTATCGATCATTTTCTTTCACATGACCTTCTTGCTTCTAATAATAGATACCTTTCGAATTCAGTACATTACGAAGAAAACGATTACGCGTAACACGAAATTCAGCACGGTCCGATATATGAATAAACTCGTTGAATATGACGGTTCGTTAACGTAATTGAAGCAAGAAAAGTAGGTAATTTAACGCTGTCCAAGTAGTATCGTGTGAAATTCGATCGACACTTTCACGACGGGAAATCTAGATGCACGTGTTAAAGAAAATTGCACAAATCTCATAAATTTCTGACAGATGTAAAAAATTCAAATTCTCGTTAAATTCTCAACTTTTAGTTTTAGGAGTCTATTGGTTCGTCTATCGGTTTCACTTCGAGAAATCCCCTGAATTTTCTGTTTCATGAATCTCACGGTCCTCCCACGACGTTGATCTCTGTAGGTTAGAGCATTCTCCCATTGTGAGAGGCATTCTATGCCGGTCACAGGTCACATGCCCACGTTTAGAAAGTAACTGTTGCGAGCATGGTTCCCCTTCTTCCGTAGCGCCATGATCGGTTAATCTGGTCGACTCTTGTGATTTCTCACTGCCGCTATTCCGTATTTCATAACTCTTTCTTTCTCACCTCGATGCTCTCGTCCCTTTGCTATTTCCTCCTTTGCACGTTTTTTCACCATTAAGTACCTATTTTAATAACCCGATGCTTATTCATTGCGCAAACGTGTGTTTGATATTAAAACACAGGACATTGTTAATTTTACCACTCGAATAACGCAGGAGATGATTTTTATCATCTGAAATATTTCTATTTTACTCTTTTAAGAGGACTTTTTTTTTAAGAATGCTGTATTTTATTTACCGGTAAGCGATAGCCACTTTGAAGACGAATTATGTATAATCTATATAAATATATACAGAGTGTTCTGCTACTCTTGGAAGAAAATTTTGGGAGTGATTCTAGAAGTCGATATAAGGAGAAAATCAAGATTAAAAAAATTGCATTTGAAGCTTCGTTTTTTAGTTATTAACGTTTAGAAATATTCCCATAGCCTAGCAACCCTTCCTACATCAACGTATACATATAGGGCGCGTCAAGGCGCGCAAAGTACAGTGATCCTCAAATCCAACGCACATGGCCGGCACCTTACCTCGTACAAATCGTAGAGAAGAAGACATTCGGCGCCGTAAATGATATTACCGACTTCTGTGGCACTACCGTTTGCTTCACCACGACACAGGTGCATGTAGGAAAGTTCTTCCATTGTGTACTGCAAACACAACGTACACTATGCACACAACAAACACAATACACGCGACCAAAGACAATCACTGTACACTACATATTCGCATACACACGCGCACGAACAAAACTAAAAAAGGTAAAGACAACTAAAAAAAAACTAAAGAAAAATAAATTAAACCTACATTAAAAGTACACTAAAATGTAATAAATTAAATTCAACCGATTATACCGAAGAAAAATTAATTAACTTATTATTCCATTGTATAATTTGAAGAAAGAGATAAAAATAAGTGTTCTATGCGCGATGGATAAGTACAAGATGGAAACCTTTCTGCGTATAAACGTAGAGTTTGTCGTAAACATTGTTGGCTTTCACTGTAAATTAAAATCACTTCGACACTACTAAATCTATCACTTAGTAATATTGACGAAAAAATAAATAATCATTCACTCTAACTGTACAGTTTCGTCCGTTCTACACTCGGTGATATTTACACTTGAGGAACTGATATGTATCCAGTAACTATAAAAAATATTTATTACCTTCAGATGAAAATATCTTTTTATATTCTGTAATGGTATAAAAAAAAATATACCATAGCAGTTGAAAAAACACCAATGACCTTAAAAAAAAAAAAAAATCATCTGAAGAGATTTTTCTTTTTATTATTTTTTTATTCATCTCTTCAAACACTTTAACTCCACCTTAAACAGTTTTATCATTATTTACATGACCCACGCTGTATATTAAAGAACTGGAGTTCTATACAGTATACGTTGATGATATGAACATGATATACTGCGGCAGTGAAAACAACAGAAGTTGAGACAAAAATAAAAATAAACATGAATGAAAACAGAACCTAAATATTCGAATAATTCAAAAAAAAAAAAAAGTTAAGTCTTACCAATCATAAGAAGAGCCACAGCAATGTGATCGCGACCTGAAGCTCTAAGGGCTCCCAGTAGTGCGCCAGCGCCCGCACATACGAGACCCACTACGCCAACCCCGAGTATGGACCAACGCACAGGAGGGGAACTGAGCCCACAACATTGTTTCGGTACTGCGTCCCTGCGAGACAAGAGTCAACAGTTGGAATGACTCGTCGACATGTAACTTCCAGTAAGTTGATAAGTTACTCCAATATGTTGGTCCTGTACTATGGTTGACTTACGTTTGACTATGATCATCAGTTTTCTCATGCACATTAGCAATTCCGTCACTTTGTATACAATTTTAAGTTCACATCGTCTACCTACTATCTAAAAAAATTCCTCGACAATTCGTTAATAGAAAAAAACTTTAACATTGAAAATCAACTTGAGAACATATTGGAAGAATATTTTAATTGCAAGAATGAGAAATTTTACATAAAGCGGATAAATAAATTTCTAAGTACTGTACCACAGATTAATTGATAAAAGTTTCATTGAAAAAATCTTGATTTACTTTCATTGAAAATAAAACGGTAGCACTTTCCCATCATCCTAATGTCGGTATTATACATGTAGAAGTATAGAATTCTATATTTCGTGTACGATTATAGGATATCCTGTTCTACACTCTATTTGTAATTTCATAATTGCATTTAGTTCTAATTCTAACCACTACTAATGTTGTAATCTTATTCTATGCTGAATCGGTAAGGTTGGCAGCGATACGAAAATGGTAAGGGGGCTCCAGAGCCCCCGTAACGTGCACAAAAAATTGTATCGAATAATAAATCTATTCTGTACCATGTTTGTGCCTATAATTTCATAGTTACATTTAATTCTAATTCCAATCACTACTATTTAGTGTTGTAATCTTCTTCAATGCTGAATCGGTAATGTTGAAAGTGACACGAAAATGGTAAGGGGGCTCTAGAGCCCCCGCAATATGGACAAGAAAGTACATTGAGTGATAAATCTATTCTACACCTCCACTGTGATATTATATTTTATATTATCATTTCCATAATATCAGTCGTGTACACAGTATGTCTCATTTAAGCGTATACACCTTATTTCTCTAACTTTTGAAAATGAGAAAAAGTTTGTCACACAACAGTTGTTTGATTTGATAGAGAAAATTGAATAGAACAATTGAATTTTTTTAAGATTGTTATTTATAGCGATTTCAAACTTTGTGTTTAAATGGAACCATAAATTTCTATTATTCGTAGTTTATTACGTATTTCAAGATGCATTTATATTTTTACGAATATTGATGGCAAATGTCAGGCTTAGTTAATGTCTTCTATTCATAACGTAGAAACAATGGAGCTGAATCACAGCTTTCGTTTATGGGCATGATTGCATTCCGAAAATGATTTATTTCTAATAAGTTGATCTCAGAAGTGACTCGAGGAAACACATGTTTATCAATGTGAAAGTTTAAGAGTAATTATGTAATTATTGTAACATAATGTCGTTTACTAATAAAGAGAAAGCAGACTGCGTGTTTCTCCGGGGCGATGGATATTTATAGTATTGCGAAGTTTTTAACAAATTCTATCAATGCTATCCTCCTAATCGACTAAAATCGATTGCCATGGCAGTTTTCGATTGGCGATTTTGCGCCCTTTCAGAAGTTAGGGATTCTTTGAGACTCTGTTTAAAAATGTCTAATCAAATTGATCTTGAAACAGTGCATTTTTTTCGCGTGTTCTCAAAAAATAAAAATATCGAAAGTATTTTTAGCACATGATACCCTGTAAAATTATACGCGAAAATTATAGTGAACCGTAAGAGAAACACGTTATACATGTATAATTACCTGCCAAAAGCAGACACGCTAGTGGAAACCGGAAACGGTAGACCAAGACTGAGACCCCTAAGACCCAAATGAGGAGGCGGAGGATGGAGAAATCCTCTGGTGGGAGTGACCAGCGGTACTCCCGGTGCAGTTGAGGAAGCCTGACATCCTGGTGATGTTCCAGGATAAGACGGTAGCATAGAGCATGATCTCAAAGCTCGCCGGTGTTGCCTACGCATCCGCCTCTCTCTTCTCCGAGCACCTCGAACACCGTCGAGTTCCTCGAGTGCCTCTGGACCATTTTGCAGTGGCAATTCCGTTTGTGCCTCCGTTGAAGTGAAAGACCGCCCGTTATCTCGTGATTCCTGGAACGTTTCACAGAAAAATTAGAGCATTTGCCAATAATGTAAACTTATTTCTCTTGTATAATCTTCTTTGAAATAATCGAAAATGTATATATCAGTTTAATACAATATATAGTGAATCTATTTACACACATAAATTTCGCTGTTGTAACTATCGTCAAATAAGATATAAAATGATTTCATATCTCATCAAGATTTCAGCAAATAATACATTCAATTTCTTTCAATGCGAAATATAATAATAATGTAGGAGTTGAGAAAAAAATTTGAGGGACCCAACGGAGGAAACCGAACCCACACGACCTTCCCGTGTTGGCAATAATGTAGAAGTTGAGAAAAAAATTTGCGGGACCCAACGAAGGAAACCGAACCCACACGACCTTCCCGTGTTGACAAACCAGGATTCTGCGCACTACGCCAACGCGCCCCCGGTTTTTTGCCTCGTTTTTTGCTCGTACAGACTCGGTATGGAAGCCCCGACCCCACAAAAAATGGTTAACGATAAAATTAGAAAAATATGGAATACACGCAATTAGTAATGGAAAGGCAATGTTTACTACTAAATCATGATATTACAAGTATACAGACAGGGTGGAGCAGAAACTTTGTCCACCTGAAATATATCCATTATTTGTAATAATATAGAGAAATGTTATATACAGAACTTGTAAGATATGATAGGGGGACATAATGTGATGTAAATACTTTTTACGTGGGTGAAGGCGTAGAGGAGATTTCAGGGTCATCTCAATTGTTTGAAATGAAATGCCATATTTTTTTTAACGTTGTGTAATAGCCGCTGTTGTGGCAATTTCAGCATGCTATCGTTAAAGGTCATTGAGAGTCACTAAAGACCGTAAAACAATTATTATTACTTTTGAATTGTAGAATTGCGGATACGCCTTATCATCACTGCATTTATTCTAGCTAATGCAGTAATTCATTGACTCTTACGTTTATGTAAATAGATAGTCTTGCCACAATATTTACGTTCTAATAATACATTACGTACAGCTACGAACGTGAACATTGTGGCAATTCACGACACAGCGTGGAATATCAGTAGTTAGTATCAATTGATTGCTGAGTCAAATATCACTGTGATAATCAAGATGAAATTTTCTTTTGAAGAACATATGAATATTATCCTCATTTGTTAAGAACAAGAATATTTTAATAAATGCACATATTACATTTGTACGTATTACGTAATACCTTTGTTTACCATTGCATGTACGTATACATTTGTAACCTGCATTTTGTTAAAATCGTACAGCATGAGTGTTCTTTGAGGAAGTAGTGTACTAATAAAAGGGTTAAATAAATCAATAAATAAATATTATACACTTTTATTTGATAAATCTTGCAATCATTTTACATAAATCTCCGTTTATAAATATATAAACAATGTGTTATTTATAAATTTAATAGGCAATTTTTGTTTCACATATGTATGTAATTGTAAAATTAAACATGTGTGTTGTTCACATAAAGAAATTTATAATCACGAAATTACAGATTGATACATTTTTTAAATATTGTAAGAAATTCATAGACAAAATGTATGTATGTATATCATTCAGACTTTTCGCTTACAAAGTAATAATTCTACGCGTATATTCACCTTATTTATTCATAAAAATAAACGTGAATTTCATAGTTTTGTAATATAAATGACAGGCATTTATGTAAAATATAAAATTTCTAAAGGTGTCATGGTAAAATTTTTAAATTTGCAAAAAATTTCATAAATATCCCAAGGAACCCACAATATCAATGATCATCATTTTAGTTATGTTCCGTTTAAAAAACAGAAAATTTGTTACATCTTAATATGTAAACTGCACGATTTTATTTGTAGCATACAATTAAAACCATTTAGTTTACTTTAACAAAGAGAGGATACCATCGCATTTTGTGTGAGATTGAATTTAAATAACACAATAGATTTACAGAAACATTAGTAGTAAGCCATTACCATAAAAAAATAGACACAAACATTACAATTTTAATATCGTTAGATTGAAATCCTTTTGAATGATAGTTAATACGAATTGAAAAATTTCGTTATATAAAAAAACAAATCTACTAGGAGTATTTACCTTGTAAGAAATAAAATTATTATCAAAACTTAATAAATCTAGAAAGAAAAATCACTCAACCCGAAAATTCTGATTTTAATAAAACTTTATAATATGTTTGTAAAGCCTAATGGAGTATGCAAGGAACAATTTTCTTTCAGCGAGTGAAATCAACCCTATTGCAAAGCCTAATGGAGTATGTAAGGAACAATATTTTTTGACGGAAAATCACTTTCAGCGAGTAAAATCAACCCTCAATTTTGTGAAATCAACCCTACTGCAAAAAGATTTGTCCATGGCGCGTAATTTTTAAGCAAACAAGTTTTTTTGTTATTTCGCATGTAAATATTTAACAGTAAGAGATAGAAACCACTCGTTATGTACAAAAAATGTATCATTTTGAACGATTTTCTATTAATTAAACCTCAGTTGCCATAAACAATTATTTACCGTTGTACTCATAGATATGTACACCTTTACGTGATATCTGATTTCATTTGCATTTTTCAACATGTAAAAGCCGCGTTCTATTTGTTCAAGAGCAACGAACGTCTGTTTTATATATTATTTCACTTTCAAGAAAGATTTACGATAATGGAAAAGTTTTTATAAAAGTTTATACGAGGAAAAAACATAAAAATGAAAATATAATAGGATTTAATACGTTCACTGCTGATCGGATTTGTATTACATACACACATTATATGCTAACAAATAATTTTCATACAAAATGTAATTTCTATGTTATAAAACATTATATACATATGTGCTTTACATGAATTATTACGAAACTGTTCTTTTTTTTTCTTTTTTTTTTTTTCAAAATTTCTTGATTTTTAATTTGCGTCCCACTAGCGTGACACGGATCCACGTCGCACGCATGGTAACGGTCGACTTGGATTCGAGACGCCCGCAGTGAACGTGTTCTCAATTAGATTTATTGCAGAATTGATCAGCATGCTGATAGACAGCATCGTTAGTAAAATGTTCTTTCATCAAAGAACGTGTCTAAAATAACAATCTAATATAATCAACCTTATAAAATTACATAGAAAAAAATGCTAAAACTTTAGGGATTGATTTCACCATCTAAAAATGTTTCTCCACAAAGAAAAACCTGTTCCTTGCATATACTTCGTTATGCTTTCTATACACACGAAGTTTGTCTATTGTCTGAAGTTAAAATCAAAATTTTTAAGGTTAGGAGACTTTCCTTGTAAGCAGCTATTCACAAAACTCTGCACAAGGTAAGTCAGATCCCTTTCACGAATCTTTTATCATTTGAAATTCATTTCCAAAAATTTGACAAAAGAATACGTTAACGAGAGAACGTTCAACATGATATAGAAAATAATATAGGAAATAGTACCTGCGGTCTGTTAAGCTGGTTGTTCCTGGCATTATCAACAGTTGCACCACTTACTGCAACGACACTGACAGGCCTCGGGGCATTCTCGGATAGAGCCCCGGCCATTGTACGACTCTGAACATCGGACTCCAGTGTGTAATGCACCGTCCCTCTTTCTTTTTTCGACCTCCCCTGCTATCGTGCTTAATCCAAAAACTTCACGCTCCTTTTTCCAGTCTTCTCCCTTTTTTCCAGCTGTCTTCCCGCGGCTCGTTTATCACTGTGTATTTTTCACGACGCGCCTTTCTCTTTCCTCTGTTTCGATTGAGTACTCTTTTACTATGTATCTCTTTTTTCATTCATTTCGCATGAAACGCCTTTTTTTCTTTCACATTCCTTTATCGCTCTTCTTTTATCTCTTTTCGTTTCATCTTCTTCCGTTGTTACTCTTCGTATACTACCACCACGCTGTACCGTGATCCGTCAATTTCCCCCACCTGTTCCTACTCTGTGATAGGGATGTAAATTCGCTCTTCCTACTTCTACTTTTATTTTTGCTTTTGCAGACAACACCTTTCCTGTTCTCTTGCTTTCAAACACTCGTGTCCTCCCTTGTCTTTCGTTTCCCATTCATGTTGTATTACACCACCGCTTTGACGCACGCCATCATTTCAGTGTTTGACAGAAAGAGCAACTATAGGTTACATGTCCTCTTATTAGTGCGTTACGCGTTTCGATCACTTTTTCCGCTTTATTTTTTTCACTAAAGTCGTTACCTCAGCTATTTACTTTTGATCTCACTTTTCTTCTCGTTAATCTGTGAACTTCACATCTGTGTTCGTAGATTATGGGAAAAAGAACTCGTGCGCCGTTAATTCAATGCGACGAAACCTTCCTCTTCTTTACACTTCCTTGACTTACTAATTACAAGTGTCATTTTAATTCACATTATCACTCGAGTGAAACAAAAGGAACGGAAACACTTGTTATTTCAATTTTGTTTAGAAATCTGTCACAAAGCGAAGTTTCATGGAATAGAACAAAGCTGCTCAACAAGGTAACGTTTATAACCGTTCTTTCGCGATAAGAGTTCGAGGAGAAAGCGGATGAACGATTCTCGTTCCTTTTCATTAAGCGCTGCGAAAAATGGTGAGATCATAATAACACGTAATTCGATTTTGTTCGCCACAAATTCGATTCTGGTCTCCCCGCTTTTCCGCGTAATGAACACACATCGAAACCTATGAATAGGAAACGCACCATGTCGGCGATACTTTTCTTACACGTTTCTTCACGTCCCTTTCCCGCGCATTCTCACGAGTGAACGTTGGAAAGTATTCCGGCAAGCATTTGTTCGTAAGACGTTGCTTCACGAGATCGATTCGCGTGCGATGAGAATACGCAGTGAATAACTATCTTTAAAATTCCTAATATTTATTGTGCCTATATCTTGACAGAAAACAAACTTGTACAGAGAAGTCAGTGTTATTTCAAGTTATCGAGTACCCCGAATACTTTACTATTAACACAAGCACGCCTACCATGAAATAAATAGATATTAGAATAGATACATATATAAAATTTTTAAACGAACCGTCCGAAAATAAGTACTTCAATAATGAATTTGATTTTTTTGTGAAATCTACATAATCTACGAACAAATAATTTTCAAAGTACACATTATACCTGAATTATATATGTACATCTAAATCTAATATGTGATAAAATTGCTTTGTTCTCATTTTCTACTCGTTCCCCATGGGTAGAACAGAGAATGAATTGACCTCGATATTGTTAACGCTGCACGAGCATAAAATTTCCGTAATAGAATTTAGCGTTTTCACCACGATGAGCATCAACGATGAAACTCGTAACTGACCTGAAACCAACTGTACGGTAACGTTTACGTTGCAAATTATCGTCGTACTCGCAACTGACCGTTTTGAGAAACGGTACTTCTTGCGCTTGTGTGTTTCTATATCTTCGCCCGATGATTCACGTGATTCATTGGTATAACGATTTTAGGTGAAAACTTCTCTCCGTTATAAAAATTTCTAATATTTATTATGGTTGCACTTTTGCTTCTGTTTATTTGTTACATGGAACTTGACAAATCAACTATTCCGCGAATTTTAATCATTTTTTAAAGTATGTATTGCAGATATTTTACAGCGTTGTATATATTTTTGTACGTCGGTTAACGTTAACAGACTACCAAATGAATTAAAAGTTATTTAGTGTTAGTTTCGTTGAAAGTGTGACGAGATAAATGACATGGAACGCAAAACACTTTTCTGTCTCTATCGTTTGAAAACAATGAAATGTGGTAAGATCAAAAATAAAGAACTCAAGGAAGAAGGATTTTAATAAAATATTCGACAATTTTTTAATCGATACTACAAACTATTCGAATGTCTATTGATTATCGTTAAAACATTTTAAAGAGGATACTTTTTGCAATGATTTGAATTATAATCAACGAAGGAGATACTGTTATTAATCAATCAACAAGCATTTGGTACAAAATAGTGAAAATTACTGAAACAAAGTAGTTAATATGTGCACAGGCACGACGTACGCACGTATACATACGTATTTTCGAAGCAACGCGATATTACATTTGAAGGCATACGCTTAACACTTTTATAGCGAAGACAATAGGAGAATCGGCAACCCTTTAACCTAATTCTTAAAGCACTGTAAGTTACTAAAAAAACCTCGATAATCTACTTCGGAAAAAAAGGATTCGCGTGAAACGATCTCGTGGCAATGAGTAGCAGCTAGTATGGAAGGTAGCCAAGTAGAAAGAAGCCATTCTTTACCTCGAAATCATATGCGGTCACACCTTGCACCAGTTAATTTACCTTTTAAACAAACTGGTCACCTTTAAAACATTTGATAGTGATCATTTTCTACACTTTTGCACGAAATTTTCACTAACGTCCATAAAAAACATGTCGAGACACGGTTCCACGGTTTTGAAACAAACACCTTTAAAAGCGACACATCTTGAACCACGATAGCGGCTCCACTAGTGCGCGAAGTATAGAACGTATCTCTGTACAAAGTGCAGAACCTTCGTGAGCGCACTCACACAGCTGAGAGTAGAACTCAACTAAGTGAGACCACCAATCGTCTGTCAGCTCCATTTGAAAGCGAGTAAACTTTTACATCGTGCATTAGAATGTGATAAAGGTATATACTGAGAATAAGGAGAGATGGTGTAAAGGATGAATGCAAACGAGTGAGAGAAAAAGACATAACGCTTAAGATAAAGTAGAAACAACTATGTCGTTTTTTGACCCCTTTTTCAACAGCTGGATTTTTTAACGTATATGTTTTTCTATTATATCTTTCTGCGTCAAAAAATTATTCTTTATGTTTCGTTATTATATATAATTTCAACATTTTTAAAATACCAGAAGAAAAATTGGGATTAAAATAAGCTATAAAGCTTAATTATTATCAAAGTCTTCATATGTTCAACTGAAATTACTGTTTTCATTCTTTATATTGTAAAGTCGTATTATTTTTATAATTTTGCAAAATGCACATGTTAGAAAATGTATTTGTACAAACATTAATGTTTTATACATATTATAATTATATGATAAAATTCGTTGTCTTGCATAAAGAATGAAATTAATAGATTATATGAAAATAACATTGTAATAATATAATTTTTGGAAAACTGTTATTTGTAGGTATAAGTACTATAATAATATTGTAGTAATATCATTACAAATGACAAGTCACATTACAGGAAAATGTAAATTATTTGTAATTAACAAAATATTTCTTCAGTTCTTTATAAAATTAAAAAATCATTATGGTAGTATGATGGATGGACTATATACTTGCATTATTAGAACAAATAAAATTTTATTTTACTTTTAATGTTCTCATTCAAAGGAGCCTATAAGTACAGTAACCACATTTTCTGGAAGAAAATAAAGGACAAACCTAAAAATTTTAGGGCTTTGTTCCAACATGTTTCAAATCAGTTTATGTCTGTCAGTAATCTGTGTATTATGAAATTTTTTTGCATAGTATACCAAAATGAAATGCACAGTTTTCTTATATGTTTCCATTTTTAAAATTGAAGAAGTTCTTAAAAACTGAGAAATTACAAACATTGTACTACATATAACTTGTGTTGTATAATGCTATATGTTGTATGATGTTGTATGACCCCTCTGAGTAAAAGCATTAGAAACAAAAAATATTTGAATTGTTTCAATGATACTTGTGATAATTAAGGTGTTCAAGTTATGCTGCCTACCTTGTATAAAAAGATTTAGAGTATTAAAATTTAATAAGAAACTATACAAATTTTAGAAGACATAAAATATTTTTGTCATAGTACCAATGCCATAACTATTATTGTATTCATACTTAAAGTTTTTAACAATTAAGACTAAATATAATATAAATTTCATAATAGTATAATTACATCTCTCCCATCAAATTGTATGGAACCAGTACAAAATAATCATTCAGGAGTTTTTTAGGAAATAATTGCAACACAGTATAAATATTTCTACAAATATATCTAAACATTATCCATTCATGAAAAATTAGATGAAGTCCCTTGCTATAATTTTCTGTAATATGTACATTCTGAGCTTTCTTACTTTTTTGAATAATTAATAGATATCATTCACAATTTTTTAACAATTTTAATTTCAAAATAATTTTAACAAACAAGACTGAAAGTATAAATTCTTATACTTATTTTATTTATTTTCACACAAAAAACTACTAAATTATAGACATACACCTTTGTTATATTTTATTTCTAACATGTATTAAATACTATTAAGGTAAAATAATATACTTTTCAATGTTATGTATAAAAACAACCAATACAATTAAAATGAATTTTAAAGTTATAAATTTAAGACTGTTAATTAAGTTAAAAATAAAAATAACATCCAATTTTTTAACAGTAAAAAAAGGTTAAAAGGTAACAACTTCATCTGTGATATTTATGAAAATATAAAACCATCAAAACTTGAAAATATTTTGATAAATTGTGTGCATATCATAATAGTTAAATGTTATACTATGAATTGTAACAAATTTGTACATAATATTTGTGAACTCCAGTACTTCTCTATTTTAGGGAATTCTAAATTCAAATATACATCGTTTATAACAATTGTATAACAGAAATTAGTACAATGTACAATACTTACAAGTATTAATAGAATTTTATTGATAACTATGTTAATAATTCATGAAACTTGTTATAATATTATAGAACTAATATTTTTACTGCAGTGTTATATTAACATTATCATTACTTCTTCATAAAAAATATATTAAAACTTGTCGAATTTTTAATTAAAAAATAAGATGCTGCCCTATTTAATGCACGATCATTTTTTAAACAATCCATCATTGATATCTATAATTTAATATTTGGGAAATAAACACAAATTTACAATTATTATTGCTCAATAATTTTATATTGAAGGTGCTACAATTTACACAAACATATGACTGCTCAGATGTGACATATACAATTTGCACCTAAGTTTTTAAGGAAACTTATTACCTAAAAGTGACGAAATTTAATGTATCAGACTTTAATAAATTTCTTTATAAGTACTATTCCTTCTTTCATAAGAATCATTATTTTATTCATGTTACTTAGAACGAAATTTTTTACAGTAGGAAATATTTTTTTTTCCATAACATCACAATAATATTATTTTTTTTATATATATATGTTTCAACTCTTTATTTCCTATTTATATTCATTATGTGTGAATTAATATTCAGATAATGGAGATGAAAATATTGTATCCCTTATTTTGTATTGCTGAAGTACGAGAATCCCCAATTCCTTCGTAATGAAAATCCTACACAGGGTGTCCTGTAACTCTTCGAACGTCCGGAAATGGGGGGTTGCTGGGGTGACTCTGAACAACTTTTTCATTTATCAAAATGTTGTTTGAAGCTTCGGTTTTGAATTATTAACGAAAAACACTGGCCAATCAGAGCGCGTGTAGAGCCCGCGCCCAGGCACTAGCGAACAGAGATTCACCCGCGCGCTATCGTGAACGACGCGTACGCGTGACTTCTCGGTTATCGATCGCTGTAAAAAAAAATTGACTTTGCACAACTATTTTTATAAAGCTTAAAGAAATGTTTTTTTGCCGTCATTCCGATGTTTGTATAACAATACATACAGTGGAGGACAAAGGTATTCAATACATCCTATAAGAAAGAATAACTTTTTTAAAATTGGGCCAAACGACTTGAGTATTTTTGAGAAGTTAGAAAGATTAGTTTACTAGATGACGTGTACAAAGAATTTTGAAAAAATTGCAATTTGTAGGAATCGTGAAGAAAATTATAAAGATCACTGTTTACAACTTTTTCATCTGGGCTTGTAATGAAAATTTAAAACATACGTTTTGTAGATCTATATCTATCAATGACACGCACGCTGAAAATTTCATCGAAATCGGTGGATGGAGAAACAAGCGACAGGCATCGAAAGATGTAAGAATCTGCAGATTTATTACAGTTTTACGCTGAAAGTCGTGATACTGCGATTTTCACAATCTTTAACCGTTTGTAGCTCATAGAAACATTAACCGATTTCGATGAAATTTTCATCACATAGATCTACAAAACGTATTTTTTAAATTTTCATTACGAGCTCAGATATGAAAGTTGTAAAAACGACCTTCGCTATTTTCTTCGCGATTCCGACTAATTGCAGTTTTTTAAAAATTTATACAACCGTCGGAATGACGGCAAAAAGCCATTTCTCTAAGCCTTATAAAAATAGCGGTGCAAAATCAAATTTTTTTGACAACGATCGATAACCGAAAAGTCACGCGTACGCGTCTTTCACGATAGCGCGCGGGTGAATCTCTGTTCGCCCGTCCCTGAGCGCGGGCTCTACGGGCGCTATGATTGGCCAGTGTTTTTCGTTAATAACTCGAAAACGAAGCTTCAAACTACATTTTGGACAAGGAAAAAGTTGTTCAGAGTCACCTCAGCAACCCCCCATTTCCGGATGTTCGAAGAGTTACGGGACACCCTGTATAATAAAATAATTAGTAACTTTTTTTGGGTGTATACTAAAAAACAATAAAAAGTGAGTCTGTCAATTAGTTTTATTTAATTATCTTTTTTGTCATATTCAATGAACCAAGTAATGTATTTAACGTGCTTTTAAACAAATACAAAAACTAGGAGGGGGTCTCAAGGTCTCATAAAATGCAATTAGGCGGGTATTCAATTCGCTAAACAAAACTGCAGCGATGCATATGTTTGTACAAAAACTATGACTAATTTAATATAAATATAAATATAAATATACCTTTATACCTATATTTATATTTATATTTATATCTATTATTTATATTTTTATAGTATTTATATATGTATAATATGTATACACCATGTAGAAGCAATGTCTTCAGGAATTCTGGATTAACTGCCTAAAAATCAGCCAACAGTGGACTTTTCGTTAATTATTAATCATTATAACTATCTTTATAAATGAGAAAACAGTGGCTTAAGAGTAATAGATGGTACATGTTTCATCTAATTTAGGAATGCCATAACTGCTTTAAAGCATTTAGTCTAATATGTAGCTTTATTAATTACTCGAATGTATTATTCTAAGTAAACATCTTAGTGCATATTTTATATGTCTGATCTACAATTATTTTTTACTTACATTAAACTAAAAATTGAAATAATATTTTCAATAAATGTATTTCATTTGCAAATTTTTACATTTTATTTTAGTGTTTTCTCGGTACGATTTGTTAACATAAGTTATAACATTTTACTTAAAATAATACCTTCGAAGGATCAATAAAATTATCCATAGTATTTTTAACATATACTATAATCAGAAATTTAAAATCAAATAAATATTAAATAAATCTGTCATAATCATGCACAATTAATGTTTTAAGTGTTTTTTACACAAAGATCAAAGACTTTATCAAATACTTAAAATTTCTGATTTTTTAAATCCACTTTGTGATATTATGATATCATGAAATTACGATATAAAAATCGACAGTGTGCGTTACTTTTTATTGTATTCACCAATTTATATATTATAAAAACAACTATTGTTAATAGATCACATTAGTACAAAATGTTTCATTTCCTGTTAACATTTGCTAATTATTTTGCTTTTCGTCATATTAATATTTATACTAGTTAAATACTATATCTGCATCATGATATCACCCTATCTTTTAATTTTTATCGTTAATTATTATTGTATAAATAATTGTTTAAATAAAATAGTGTGCTTTTTA